CGTAGATAGATTTCAACGGGAAAGAATGACGCTGCCACGAGTACCTGACAACTGGGCAGCCATAGCCTTTGCTAGTAATTTGAATGAGAAAAGTTCAGAAGCCACGAGGCGACTCAAAGAAAAGCCTTCGAGAATTCCTCAGCAACAACGTGGAATGATGTCTCAACAGATACAGTACAAAAGATGAGGATTGAAGAAGACATTATTTTACGACATAAAAACAGAAGAAAGGGTAAGCTCAAGGCGTGTGGAAAATGAAAAGAGATCCGGTAAAAACAGGTATGAGGCATACATAGGACCTGCGGGGAGAGATTCACGATCAAGGCAAGATAATCAAAGGTACGATCACAAACCTAGAAAAGGAGTCCGGCTCCTCATACGAGGTTCGGAAATGACCGGAACAACACGCGGGTCACGAGAACGATGATGGAAGCCTAAAGGCAAGGTTCGTGGTTACAACTTCAACGTAAGCACCTATGAACTCGTGGCTGTTTTAAGAAGCATGGGAGATAAGGTAACGATGGCCAAAGGAAATGCGATCGAATCCGAACAGACGAAACCCTGATCATTGGTGCGAATTTCATAACGATCATGGGCATAAAACAGCAGATTGCAGGTTTCTGCAAGGTGAAGTTGATCATTTGTTAAAACAGGGGTATCTTTACTGAGTTGTTCAGTGACAAAGGTAAAAAGCATACATGAAGAATAGGCAGGAGCCTCCAAAACCACCTTCGCCGCAAGAGAACTGTCAACGTTATAAGTGGAGGTGAAGAGATCAAATGATGTATCATATAAAAAGGTCCTCAAAAGTGATAAATTACCCATGGGAAGCCGGCCTCGACATGTACTGGAAGAGGAAAATGTATATTCAACAACGCAGACGCCGAGGGACTCATAACTCCGCATACGACGCACCTGGTATCATTTACTTGTACATGACACTAACGTAAAACGAGTTTTGGTTGATCCAGGTAGTTCTGTAAACAATTGTTTTAATACGAGTATTGCGCGATATGCAAAGAAGCGGATTAAATTAATTCCAAAGGCGCATACTTTTTCGGGATTTGATAACTCTAGTGTTGTAACAAAAAGGGGAGGGCAATACTTACTACATTCGCAGAAGGCGTCGTTAAAGATACCAAATTTCAAGTTGTAGATATGGAAATGGCTTACAATATGATTCTTGGGAGGCCATGGATTCATGACATGGAAGTTGTTCCTCAACTTTATATCAAGTTATTAAATTCCCATCTCCATGGGGAATATGCAAATCAGAGGCGATCAACAAACATCTAGAAGCATTAATTCCGTTGCAGATTCAATCTGTTAAGGTGAAGACAAATAGCAATTACAGAATTTAGATGAGGGTAACAACGGTGTCAACCTCACCTGAGCAAAAGCAAACAGATATGGATTCAAGACTGACACCATTCAAGAACCAGAGGAGAACGAGAACATCAAAACAATGATAGAAGAGCTAGAGGCCGTGAGTGCTATTATACATTGAGTGCTCGAACCTGTTGTTCTAAGGCACTCTTGTTCTCTTGTAAATCCTCCATGTCGAGTTGAACACTGCCAAACTGTTCCTTCCAGTTGTTTGCCTCAAACTGAGAATCACGTGCTACCTTCTCCAAGAGGGAGATTCTGCTCATCAGCTCAGTGCCAATAAGATTGGCCTACAAATAAAAGAGAAGTAAAAATCCTAGAGTCGAAAAGTTTTTACAGAATGGAGAAAAGTAGGAAAGAAGAATACCTTTAAAGTGGAATATACTATGTCATTCATGAGGGTCAGGTTGTTGTGGCTTTTCAAGTTTTGTTTTTTCAATGGGGCCAATCAAAGGCTCGAGCCAAATATCAGCCTGACTAGACTTTCTCAAGAGGCTGTTGTTAGCAGGAACTTCAATGGTTACGCTCCTCATAGTAGTACTTTTACTTGAAGAGCCCACCTCCGTATGGTGGACAATAGATGGAGGAACAGACAAAGGAGGAGCGATAGAAGGAGGAACAGAAGCAGCAGTTGATGAAGGTAAAGGAGCAATCATAGGTAGGGGAGATGAAGAAGAAGATAAGGGAATTTCATCTAGAATAGGTCCTAAGTTTTCACTACCAAAACCACTAACAAAAAGTTGATCGATAGACTCACGAGTATCCTGAGGAGAGACGTCATCATCAGGAATGATAACTGGAGTAATAACAGACTTGGAGGGAGATAGATGAGGGGAAACTTCAGCTTCATCATCAGAGACGATACGTCTCCGGGCTCGAGGCCTCATCACTAGGGAACCTTCATCTTCCTCCTCTGAATGTTCTTCTTCAGTTTCAGTAGTTTTTCTTTTTAAAGAACCCAAGAGTACATCTTGGGCTGAAGAGGTGCGAGTACTCAAGGAGTCACGAGCAGCTATGATAGACTCTGCGGTGACCCCACGAATAGCAAATCCTGATAAAAAGAAGGATAAAAGTTAGAACAAAGAAGATATTTAGATACAAACAAGGAAAAATAGAAACCCTTACCATGAGTTTTTACTTTCCAACCATAACGGCTGGAAAGGTTTTTCCACGATCTACCCTCCATTGGAGCGGCCTTCAACAATCTTCCTACCCAACCACGGAAGTTGGGCACGGTTTCCACGACACCCATGGTTGCTGAGAAAGGAAAAAGAGGCGACATTAAAAAAGGTGATAAAATCTGAAAGGGAAAGGCACGAGGAAGATTTAACACTTACGTGCAAAGTTCCACTTCTCGGGGAAGGGAACGTTATTTTCACCCACTAAACTAACAGTGGGGGCAGCAACAAATCGGGCATACCAGCCACGGTCTTTATCGTCCTCAGGGCTCACTAAAACCCTCTTGCTCCTGGCTGCTAGGGTAAAAACGCCGTTGCGAAAAAGCCTAGGGGAATAGAGATGAATTAGGTGGGGAAAAGTAAATTCGGCATCCGCCAAGTTAGCGAGGTGCCTTAAGCAAGCGACAGCCCTCCAAACGATTGGGCCAATTTGACCCAAATTAACATTAAAAAAGCGACAAAAATCCAAAATAACTGGATCAATGGCCGGTTTAAACCCTAAAGTAAAGGGATACGTATAAACAAAAGAAAATCTAGTAATGTAGGAGGTGATTCTCTGATTTGGATTAGGAATGATGATAGGGAAATCATCACTCCAATGACAATCTCTACGAACTATGGGGATTAAAGGGTCAGTAATTTGAGAAGGATAAGTATCAACTCGATTTAAAGAGGCAACTTGAGTTCTGAGAGATTCCCTGTCATGATAAAAAGATAAGTCCGCTGGAACTATTTCTTCCACTAAAGGTTCGCGTAAGGGTTCAGAGGATTCTTTGTTTCTGGAAGATAACCTTTGAGAATGGGAACCTCCAGTTCTAGAAGAAGGGCCAGAACTAGAAGAAGGTGTGAGTGAATTACCACCACGAACAGATCCCAAACTACGGAGTCTACCACCACCACCTCTTCTGTGCCTAACGGGAGCATTGGGAAAGATGTCTAAAATAGGAGTTCTTCTAGGGTTAGGGTTCGGAGAAGCCATGACCAAGAAGATTGAAGTAAAGAAGAAGTGAATAAAAGTTTTGAAAAATTAAAGTGTTCAATACGCTTTAAATGGTAGAAGACAAAGATGGAAGTTATATTTATACTAGTGAATGACCGTCAGAAGGAAAGAGTATAGTGACGGGAAGTCCATAATAATGATAACTGACACTTCGTGGACAGAGAAGCCGAAAAGAAAGCCTAAGAAAGTGCTGCACAATTGTATGACCAATAAGAGGATGACACGTGTCCAGCGCATTAAATGAAAGTAATAAGTGAAACGTCAAACTCTGTCAGAGTATTAATGGTGACAAAAATTCTCCCTTAAATGAATTCCACTTCCCAAATATTCAAACTGATGAATAAATGGAAAGTGGGGGGACTATCTGTATTGGGAAAAATTATATTTATGTATATGATGACGTGTCATGACCTATAGACTGGTCAAACAGTCAAAAAAATAAGGTTGGATAACATATACGAGCAACAGCAGATACGAGCAGCAACAGATGCGAGAAAATTAAATGGAGGGGCTGCGAGCAGTCATACAAGTAATTCAACGCTCGTACCTATTCAAGACATTTAAAACTCAAAGATAATGAAGAATCAAAAGAATGAATCTAACAGCAAAAAGGAGCCCAGATACAACATTTAATGGTATTAATTATTCGAAACGTTAGAGAATATGTATTTATTGTATATGATTGCATAACGTAACATTTAAAATCATTAATTGCCCACAATAGCATTATTATGACAAAGGTGAGGCTCGTATCCCAAAAGAGCTATAAAAAGGGAAGAAACAAACAATTGTAGGGGGGTGACTATTGGAATATACTTCGATTTACCAGCTTTCATACTTGGCTATTCTAAAATTTCTGTCTTTATTTACTTTTTCGATTATCAGTAATCCGATTCTTCTAAATTCTAGCTTTGACTAAAATCCTATTTTTTGGTTAAACACAAATGTTCCGAAACAGTTGAATTGAGCATATTATTTTGGTCGAAAATAATTATCACAAAACAAAGAGAATAATTGAATTAAGCAAAGGCAATTTTCCCAGATAATTCCAAAAAAAAAAAAAAAAAAAGGAAAACGAATTGAGAAAACCAATGAAGTTGAACCGCATTACTAACCGCCTCTCCCGGTCTCCCAGTACCAACTAGTACTTCTATTAAACCCTTCCCACCAACTTCCACTCCACTAACACCATTTCACAAGAACCTCTCAATTATATCGGACTCCATTTTCCCTCTTAATTCACAAAGATCATGGGTATATAATAATTCTCTCTGTTTTTTTTTGTTTCTTCAATTCTCTGTGCATGCAACTTATGCTTCAGATGACGGGCAGTGACTAATTTGGGTTTCTCCTATCTTCTCTGTACTTTTTTGCAGCCAAGGTTAAGATTGGAATCAATGGTTTTGGAAGAATTGGGCGATTGGTTGCCAGGGTGGCACTCCAGAGAGATGACGTTGAGCTCGTTGCTGTTAATGACCCCTTCATCTCCGTTGAATACATGGTATATGACATTTAAATAGGGAGTAATATTAGTAATATATGAATCAAGCTTAAACAGTATCTGTGAATTTTGTTCCTGGCTTTTGTTGCAGACATACATGTTTAAGTATGACAGTGTCCACGGCCAGTGGAAGAACCATGAGCTCAAGGTTAAGGATGATAAGACTCTTCTCTTTGGTGAGAAGCCTGTTGCTGTATTTGGCATTAGGTAAATTTATCCCTTATTAACGTATGGCAAGTGCAAAAGAGTTCTCTTGGGTCAATTTGGATTTCTGATTGAACTTACTGTAATGGATATGTGAAGAAACCCAGAGGAGATTCCATGGGCTGAGGCTGGAGCAGAGTACATCGTGGAGTCAACAGGAGTCTTCACTGATAAAGACAAGGCTGCTGCCCACTTGAAGGTTTGTGATCCTAAAGAACGATATCTGTTCTTATTTTGCCTTCCCTGCCTCAAATAATAGAGGAACTGTTTGTAGTTAATATTAACTTTTGTTTGTCACAACTTGGCGCTCCAACATATTAGTTTTTTCCCCACTGGCCAGCCGTACACTTGGTGCCTGAAATAATTTAGCGGATTTGGTGGTATTGCTTTATTTAAACTATATGTGTACGTATACTCAAGTTCCTGATTGTGTATTGTGAATATCTCCCAATTGTGTGTGTACTGTGAATATCTCCCAATTGTGTGTGTATTGTGAATATCTCCCAACTGTGTATGTATTGTGAATATTCTGGTGCTTATTGCTTTTATGCATTTGTTAGTGAAGGTGCTATTTTCGAGGCTTTACACTTGCGATGTTTCGTTTTCTTTTCCTGTTCAATTATATTTTTGTGGAAACTGAAGAATCGAGTACACTGTCCTCTTAAAAGCAACTCAAATCTAGAATATAACTTTGTTGATTTTCTCTATATGAGTCAGGGTGTTTGAGTATGTCATCTATATTGGTAGAGTACATTTATAATGGTTATTTTTTGCAAATTGATGCTAATGCTATGATATTTGAGTGTTGCCAACTTGGATTGATATGGTCATCTCATTGAGTGTTGTTGTCGTTAATCATCAGGGTGGTGCTAAGAAAGTCATCATTTCTGCTCCTAGCAAGGATGCTCCTATGTTTGTTGTTGGCGTCAATGAGAAGGAATACAAGCCAGACCTCAACGTTGTTTCTAACGCTAGCTGTACCACTAACTGCCTCGCGCCTTTGGCAAAGGTTTCCTTTTTGTTCCTTGCTCTGTCCTTCATTTTAACAGTTGAACCCATTGGTGATGCAATATATATTTTCTCAAAATTTCTGACGTGACTTTGCAGGTTATTCATGACAGATTTGGAATTGTTGAGGGCCTTATGACCACTGTCCACTCCATGACTGGTAGGTATTTTACTTGTACATTTAAGTTTGATTTCTGTAGCTTGTGCACTCAAGTTGTTTCTATTTTTATTAAACAGCCACCCAGAAAACTGTTGATGGACCATCCGCCAAGGACTGGAGGGGTGGAAGGGCAGCATCATTCAACATTATTCCTAGCAGTACTGGAGCTGCTAAGGCCGTTGGAAAGGTGCTACCATCATTGAATGGAAAGTTAACTGGAATGGCTTTCCGAGTTCCAACTGTTGATGTGTCCGTGGTTGATCTCACAGTGAGATTGGAGAAAGAAGCTACCTATGATGAAATCAAGGCTGCTATCAAGTAAGCTTGTCTACTCTACAACTTTACCATCCCCCTTTCCTTGAAAAAATACAAAATGCTTGTGTACTTTATTCAATCGGCAAGTATACACTAGAAGTCTCCTCCTGTGGATTTAATTCATGCTAGTGCTGCACGAAATAATAGAGAAGGCCTTATGTCCTGCCCCTGTGAGCTGCTCATTTATGTTAATTTGCTTTGGCATCTTATTAGGGAGGAGTCTGAAGGAAAATTGAAGGGAATTCTAGGTTACACTGAAGATGATGTGGTATCAACAGACTTTATTGGGGACAACAGGTAGGATTGATTTGGAAGTGTTGTTCTGTTTTATGTTTCCAAATGAAAAAGATGGTGAATGTATTTTCCTCACTCAAAATAACATGTGCCTATTGCTTCTGACCTCACTTAAGTGTTTCTTGTGTAAATCCCCTTTGTTGTACTGAACCAGCTTGAACCAGACTAGAGAGCCAAAGTGTTAATTTGACAGATTTGTAATTTAAATGAAAATAATTTGCAGATCAAGCATATTTGATGCCAAGGCTGGAATCGCTTTGAGCAAGAACTTTGTGAAGCTTGTTTCTTGGTATGACAACGAAATGGGCTACAGGTAAATATAAAACTTTACATGCTTTTATTTTAGAGTAGCTGTACTTTTGCATGATATCTTATTCTGGTAGAGGGTCAATCTGATCTTTCTGCTTCTGCCTATGTTTATCTTTAAGCATTCGCCTGTACAAGAACTATGTATAGCAGCACTTTATGGTTTGTGGTCTGCTGCTAATTTTTTATTTTTTATTTTTTTACTTCTGGGATTGCAGCACTCGAGTGGTGGACTTGATTAAGCACATGGCATCAGTCCAGTAAAGTGGCAGTTCCGAGCGTGGTGGTGTTTTTGGTGATGTTTGCTAAGCATAATTATTAGAGGGAAAAACAGTTTAGAATAAACTAAAACGGGAAAAGCTGTTCTGCGAGTTTGAGGGGCTGTCTGTTTACCATTGTATTTTGATTTGGGATCTTATGTTGGATTGTGGTTTCCCCAAATTTTCAGTTTTTCATTGGAGTCTGTGTGCAGAACTCTGGATATGTTCTCTCTTGTTTTGTTTTGCTATCAGTGTATAATTATATATTGGACCCTCACATATCTGTCTCACGCTGAACCCCACCCCCACCCCACCCCCCCCCCCCAAAAAAAAAAAAAAAAATACAAAATCCACAGAAGAAGATAAGAAGGAAATTGTTAGGTTGTGGATCAGAGGGATGATTCTGTAGGCAGTAGGGTCAACTGTAAAGGGTTCAGTCAGGTGCCTTTCCGGGCCTTCAAAAGCCAACTAGAAAATGGTACGGTAGTGTCGACTGGTGCTCGATGAAAGTGATATAGAGAAAAAGCAGTATATCACAAAGCGAATTGCTGGTGGAATTGGTCCCGTCTTCACTTGATCGTAACGAGTTTGGTTGTCATTTGTTGTTTTCTGCTATCAGGCATTAGGAGGATTCTCACTTTTTACATAGAGATATTGAAGTCCTTTATGTGCTTCGAAGTTTGAATGATCTTTCCTTTGAAAATTTTTCTAAATAACTCTTGCATTTAGTATACGGGCGAGATCGGGAGGCCCGATTTCGCGATTATTGCGTCTCTCCCTTAGCATCGAAAAGGCCCCGAAGATTCGGGGACGCAGCTCGAGGCTTCGACCTTGAAGACCCTTCGCACTCGACCTCGACGCAGCATGAGTCTTATCGAAGATAAGCGGGAAGTTCCCTAGGCATGTGGTCCGAACTGACATCACCTGCAAGAATAGTACCAGTCTGCACTAGATTACTAGGTAGTTGTGCCAGCTATCTTACTTTGTAATAAATGCTTTTGTACAATGTTTGGGTTCTCCCTCATATGAAAAGGGGGATCCTTGTCATCTGTAGGCCATCTGATATTCAATATTCAATACAAAAACACTCTCTGCTCTCTAACTTAACATATTCTCTTGAACTCATTACTTCCGTTTATTGCTTATATTCATTGTGTTCTGTTTATTGTTCTTCATTTATTGCTCATTATTGGCCATAAAGAGCCATCACCGTAGCTCTCATAAAGTGTTAATCGTCCCTCGATCGCTCTAAGCCGGTCACCAACTCGTACCCGAGGCCTTATAAACGACAGCTCGAGGCCCCGATCTCCAACTGTTTGGTTCGATTATCATACCGTCTCTAAGCTGCAATCTTTATTTCTAGTCTTTTACTTAGCATCCGTTGCTTAACAACTAGCATAAAAATAGATCACGTGTTTTTAGAACCACAAAATCAAGTTTAATTGTAATTATCATTTTCACGGTAAACAGTTTGGCTCCCACTGTGGGGCTAAAAATAATAGTGATTATTTTCTTGCTGGTTTACTTCATAACGCAAGCTATCTTTCACACTTTTTCTTGTCCAAGATCCTTGATTTCAGGTCAAGATGCCTAAACCAGTGAATGTACCTGAAAATAACAGCCTCAAAGACTATGCAAAGGGCGGTACGGTTATTCCAGGTATGGGTGTGCCACCGCAAAACCCTGAGAGTACACCGGAACCGATCCCCAAGGGTGCAACCTCATGCAACACCCAATACGTTAACGCTGGTCCTCACATTAACAAGAGCGCACACCGAGAGATTCAGCAGGAAACTCGGAGAAATCCGACCTGGGCGAAAAGAGAGATTCCTCATCATATCGTCCGTATGATCATCGGAGGGACCGATATCCCCCAAGGACCCGTGATCAAACGGATAAAAATATCCGCTGCAATAGAAGAGCCAATCCGAGATCACATGACTGAAAACACCATAGCATTCAGCAAGGAAGATTTCGAGACCTTGACGCACCCGCACAACGACGCACTGGTAATTTCCTTTCTCCTAAGTAACATTCGAATTAAACATGTGCTCGTGGATCCAGGTAGCTCGGCCAACATAATCAGGTCAGGGGTAGTAGAATAGCTTGGGTTGCTCGACCATATCGTACCCACCTCCTGGGTCCTCCACGGCTTCAACATGGCCGGCGAGGTAACGAAAGCGGAGATCGCCCTCCTGGTTGACATGTCTGGTACAGTTCAGAACACCAAGTTCCACGTCATCGGCGGTGACATGAGGTACAACGCATTGCTCGACAGGCCATGGATACACAGCATGAGGGCACTACCGTCAACTCTACACCAGATGATGAAGTTTCCAACAAAGGACGGTATAACAACCGTATATGGAGAACAACATGCAGCAAAAGAAATGTTCGCGGTTCACTGGGAGGCGTCGAATCCAACACAGTCTACGTCGGATGAGTCGAGAAGTGTACAGACCCCCGAGGCTGATGAAGAAGATTTCCTCGCTCCTCGAACTTTCGTCGCCCCCGAAGAGTCGGATGCAACGAATAATTGAAGAGATGGAGCAAACTGTTTTGATCGAACATCTCCCAGATCGGAAGGTATACCTGGGAACGGGGTTAACCCCCGAACTCAGGATAAAACTCATTCAATTCCTTATTAATAACATCGACTATTTCGCTTGGTCCCACTTAGATATGACAGGAATCCCGCCGGAGATAACCACCCATCGACTGAGTGTCGACCCCGGATTCAAACCGGTGAAGCAAAACAGGAGGCCCCGGTCCAAAGTAAAACACACATTCATCAAGGACGAGGTAACGAAACTCCTTAAAATAGGGTCCATTAGAGAGGTAAAATACCAGAATAGCTGGCCAATGTAGTGGTAGTACCCAAAAAGGGAAATAAGTTAAGAATGTGCGTAGATTATAAAGACTTAAATAAGGCGTGCTCCAAGGATTCATTCACATTGCCCAACATCGATCGTCTGATCGATGCCACGGCCGGTCACGAGACTCTCACTTTTCTCGATGCTTACTCGGGGTATAATCAAATTCAGATGAACCTCGGGGATAGGGAAAAGACTTCGTTCATCACGAAGTATGATACCTACTGTTACAATGTAATGCCCTTCAGGCTGAAAAACGTAGGGGCTACGTATCAACGTCTAGTTAATAAAATGTTCGAGCATCAAATAGGCAAATCCATGGAAGTTTATATTGATGATATGCTAGTTAAGTCCCTGCGCGCAGAGGACCATTTGACTCATTTGCATGAAACATTCGACATCCTCAGAAGTTATAACATGAAGCTTAACCCCGAAAAATGTGCCTTCGGAGTGGGTTCGGGCAAATTCTTAGGCTTCATGGTGTCAAACAGGGGAATTGATATCAACCCCGATAAAATCAGGCCATCAAAGAAATCACAGTGATAAATAATGTAAAGGCCGTGCAACGGCTGACAGGGCGAATAGCGGCTCTGGGCAGGTTCATATCAAGGTCATCAGACAAGAGTCATCATTTCTTCTCTTTACTCAAAAAGAAAAACAACTTCGAATGGACTCCAGAATGCCAACACGCCTTGGAGGAATTGAAGCGATATCTGACTAGTCTTCCTTTGCTCCACACAAAAGAGGATGAAACGATGCATTTATACCTGGCCGTATCCGAGATAGCGGTAAGCGGTGTGCTGGTTCGAGAAGAGCAAGGTACGCAATTCCCTGTCTATTATGTAAGTCGGACCCTGGGGGATGCCGAAACCAGGTATCCGCACCTAGAAAAATTAGCTCTTGTGCTAATAAGCGCATCGCGAAAATTGAAACTTTATTTTCAGTGCCACCGTATTTGCATTTTAACAACATACCCTCTCCGAAGCATATTGCACAAGCCCGAACTATCGGGCCGATTGGTCAAATGGGCCATCAAACTCGGGGGGTATGATATCGAGTATCAGCCCCGAACGGCTATCAAGTCCCAAATTCTGGCGGACTTCGTGGCCGACTTCTCGTCCTCCCTTGTGCCCGAGGTAGAAAAGGAACTTTTACTAAAAGCGGGCACATCTTCCGGGGTGTGGACCCTGTTCACTGACGGCGCCTCGAACATGAGAGGATCCGGACTCGGTATATTCCTAAAGCCGCCTACGGGTGGCATGATCAGGCAATCTATAAAAACTGCAAGATTGACTAACAACGAAGCCGAGTTTAAGGCTATGATGGCAGGTCTAGAATTGGCCAAAATCCTGGGAGCTGAGATCGTCGAAACAAAATACAATTCACTCCTGGTAGTAATTCTGGTAAATGGGAGCTTCGAGGTCCGAGAAGACAGGATGCAAAGATACTTGGACAAAATCCAAGTCACATTATGCCGTTTCAAAGAATGGACCCTGGTCCATATACCTTGAGAGCAGAACAGCGAAGCCGATGCCCTCGCTAACCTAGGATCATCTGTTGAAGAGGATGACCTACTCCCTGGGGCTGCTGTTCAGCAATACAAATCAGTAGCTCATGCCGAGATTAATTCCACTAGCCTAACATGGGACTGGAGAAATAAATATATTGGCTATCTGAAAGATAGGAAACTACCCACGGATCCGAAGGAATTGAGGGCCCTGCGTACCAAAGCAACCTGATTCTCGCTCGATGAAAGCGAAACTCTTTACAGAAGAACCTTTGATGGCCCTCTAACAGTATGCATGGGGCCAGGAGATACCAATTATGTGCTCCGAGAGATCCACGAGGGCACCTGCAAAAATCATTCTGGTGCCGACTCCTTAATTCGAAAAATAATCAGGGCAGGCTACTACTGGGACAGCATGGAAAAGGACACCAAAGAGTTCGTCCGCAAATGCGACAAATGCCAAAGATTCGCCCCAATGATCCACCAACCTGGTGAACAACTACATCAGTTTTGTCACCATGGCCATTTATGAAATGGGGGATGGACATCGTCGGACCTCTACCAACGGCGCTAGGTAAATCTAGATTTATTTTATTTATGATTGACTACTTCTCAAAATGGGTTGAAGCACAGGCCTTCGAAAAGATAAGGGAAAAGGAAATCATCAATTTCATCTGGGACCACATCATATGCCGATTTGGAATTCCTTCCGAGATAACTTGTGATAACGGGAAGCAATTCATCGGAACCAAAGTGACTCAGTTCCTCGAGGATCACAAGATTAAAAGGATCCTATCAGCACCCTATCACCCGTGTACTAACGGCCAAGCCGAATCTACAAATAAAACCATCATCCAAAACTTAAAGAAGAAGTTGGAATACGCTAAGGGAAAGTGGAG